CTCTCTCTCTCTCTCTCTCTCTCTCTCTCTCTCTCTCTCTCTCTCTCTCTCTCTCTCTCTCTATTATTTATTGGAACTATTATCGGATCTTCCAACATTTTCACCCCTGAAATAAGCCGGGGAAACGTTGTTAGTTGTCGACAAACTAACTGGCGCCCAGATCATCGATATATTCCATCGATTAATTAAGTGGAACTAACCCTTGAGCCCTGACAGCCCTTGACCCAGGCCGCGTCAGGTGTAGGCCTCAAATTAATCGAGTATTTCTGATTGTGTTATTAGCTTCAGTCGAGTATTATTTATGTTGTCGAAAATTTATTCTTGAACAAAAAGACCTGTCTCAATTGAATAACTATGCATTTTGTCAGGAGATACATCAATTATCATGCGTTATAAAAATTCACTTTATCGGAAACTGAAGAGATGAGCCATGTGACCCATGTGTGCAAATAAAGAGGGCTCCAAAGATAAGTGTGCAATTTGAGGGTTAATGAATTATCAACATACAAAAAAATTAAAAGACCGGTTGCACCAAGCCCAATTAAGAAAATCCTCAGTTAAGTATTGGAATAAATAAAAATAATCTGCCGATCAATTTTAATCGAAAGTTCATCGAAGCTGTTTCACCAAAATATCTGGTGTATTAATGTATCATCACTATTTGCCAATAATACTACTAAGTATGAAGTATTTAGTCCATATTCTCGGCCCAGTGACTCGATGAAAGCACTCTGCAATGAATTAGTAAAAATTGTCTGAATGTGGAATAAATTTACTCCAGACATAAATTTATTCTGACGATTTATTGGCTAACAGGGTTTACTGCTACCAGCCCTGAAGTGTTCATATTGCCCCACTCTCCCTTAATGAGTGGTGCTCATTTCTTTGATTATTAGACGTTCTACTGATTCAAAAACTGAACTCAGAAAGAATAAATTTAAATTAATTTCATCCGTTCAATTTTCCTTGACTTGATAGGATGATATCACCTCCATACACCCCTCAAATGTAACATTATAGGCGAGAATAATATTTAAAAAATACCACATGGAAAAATATCACAATACAAAATATCATATGATAAAATATAATACTACTGATTATCAACGTTCGCACTATTTTGGACTATCGTTTGAAATTCGGTACGTCATGTTCATTTTATTTTCATATAGATCCTAGAGTACTAAGTCATTAACAGGATCGAGCTTATCTGCAAGAAGTTTAAAAATGAATTAGGTTATTAATTGACGAGGTAATATACTGCTGATGAATCCAATTTACAACTTATCTATCACTCATATTCTATTTCAATAAATTATGTAGCTGTTTTATCTTTTTTCCACCATTTTATTTTCACTTAGTATCTCTATTTTCCATTTTTAATTTTTTTTCCATTGCGAGAATATTATCAAAAAATATAACGGACGATATATGATACTGTAAAACATCGTATGATGAAATATAATTTTATTGATTATTCACGTTTGCACCTCTTTTGGCCATCATTTAAAATTTGGTCTTCCATTTTCATTTTTTTATAGATTTCTAGAGCTCTGTGTCAATAATCGGATCAAAGCTATTTACAAAATGTTTAGGTAATAAATTACATTATTAATAAACGAGGTAATATACTGTACATTCCCCATATTCTGTTTTAATTAATTTTAATTGGTTAATTAAAATAGAATATGAGCTATTTTATCTCCTCTTTCTTAATTTTTTATTTAGATAGTATCATTTTCCATTCTTCTTTCCTTTTCTTCGCAATCTTCCCAAACTAATCCCAAAAAATCTTTCGTTTTCCAGGTATTCTTGAAATCCTCTCCAGACCTAGCATCAAAAGTCTCCGTCTGGAAGCGTTACAATGACTTCAAAAAGCTCCACAAGACCCTCAGCACCCTCCACCAGCGTCTCTCCATCAAGGAGGCCTTCCCCCCCTTCCCAAAGGGAAAATTCTTCTCTCGTTTCGAGATGGAAGTGATAAAAGAGCGACGAGACTCGGCGATCAAGCTCCTGGAGTTCATCGGGAGGCACCACTCCCTCGCCACTCACGATACCTTCGTCAAATTCTTTGAAACCTCTCTCCAACCAGACACCTCCACCGACCTCAACGAATCCATTGGTTCCGACACCTCGGAGGAGAGTCAGGTGACCCCTGCACCCTCTCACGACATTGCCTGCACTCCTCTGATCCCTCAGCAAGTCCCAGTCCTCGAAAAATCCCCAAAACCTTCAGAATTCGAACGATCAAAGGCCTCAGAACACAAAAAAACAGAGAAACTCTTCGCTTCAATTGATTCTAGAGAATCAGAGGATTGTGGGCAATATGTTCTAATAGCAGCAGCTCATATGAGCGCAGGATATCGTCATGAGTCGATGAACGAACACGAGGAGGCCTTCATGCAATACAAATTAGGGATAACGAATCTTCTTCATGGAGTCAAGATGGACCCCGACCCCATACGTCAGAGAAAAATCTACGAGAAAATAAAAAAATATTCAGAGAGGGCGGAGACTCTCTATAACAGATTCTTGAATAGTAATATTTCGTTGTTGAGCAGACCGACTGAAGAACTGAAGAACTATAAGGTTATCAAGGTATTTAATTCAGTTATGCTGGTGAGGGACATCAGGACGAATGTCGAGAGGATAATAAAGACAGTGGAGAAGGTGTCTGGGGAGCACGAAGATATTGGTGACTATATTCTGAGGGGAAATGTTCCTTTTGTGGTGAAGCTCCATGGGTTCGTGCAGACTGAGACGACGGTTTTTCTTATTTTGGGGTATGTGAGGAGGGGAAGGCTGTGGGAAAGTATCATGAAGAAGTATGGGATGGAGAACAGGGAGATCATGAGGTCTAGGAGCCATGATGCAGTCTTTCAGGTACACATACTCAAAAGTTTATAGCGAAACCTCGAGAATTCACTAGAAAATTCTGTTGGATTTCTATTGAAAATTCTATTAGTTTTTTTCGAATCTGGTGAAGATTTCTGCAGTTTTCCTGCGCGTTTTTTTTCAATCGAAATGTTCAATTGAAAATACTTTGTAGCGATGATCAATAGAATTTGATTTTTCTGTACAATTCATTCCATCAGGATATTCTATATAGAAATTCCTCTGCTCAATTCTTTTGTTTTGTTTTGTTCAATTTTTTTAGAATGAAAAAAAAAATGAGAAATAAAAAATTAAGTAAAAAAACTTACGAAGTTTGTGTTGAGGAAAAAAGGATCTCTACTGTTTTTTATCTATAAAATAGTGTAAGAAACTCTAACAACACTGTTTCGGGTTTAACAAACGTACGTATATTTCCGTGACTCGATACAATAATAATGACAATAATGTCAGAATAGGGTTGAATACTTGTAGTAACCCGTAGTAACCCTCCTTCAGGTCAATCCAATCATCCTTGTGTACGAGGTGCGGGTGAGGCCCAAATAGCACTCGTATGGGAATGTTTACAACAGTTTCTATTTTAAACACTCAGGCTGTGGAATTTTTCAGTAAAATCGGTGAAAAACTAATAGAATTTTCTAATGAATTCGCTGGGTTTCCTATGAAATTTTTTCGAACGTGCATTGTTAGACATTTTTCGGAATCTAAATAATGGTTGCATCTGAATTCTTAATGTTAATGTTAAACTAAGAATGGGAATTCATACCCAATTCTTAATGTTACTATACCAAGAATACTCATACTCATACCCAAGGATTTTTACAGAAAAAAAATCAACATAGAGAAATCAAACTCTATTATTTTTTTTTCAAAAGGAATGATATTTTCAATCAAAATAGGCCGACAGATGGATTTCCAAAAAATCTCCAATTCTCTTCATTTCTTAGCAAATTTTTCATGGTTCTCTAGACGGTATTTATTTTTCTACATTGAAGCTCGTGTCTTTCACATGCATATTTTATGTTTTTGTTTTTTTCAACATTTCATATTTTTTTCAAAATTGAGTTTTCATATTGGTGTATGAACTGAAAAAGTCGATAGATTAAAAATTTTCGATCCTGTTGAAATTTTTTTCATGGAAATCCCTAGAGGTAAATTGACCAAATTTATATTTTGAATTTCCTAATATGAGACTCGACATTGAAATATATATCCAAGAAATTTACAGAAAAAATGTCAATATATTACAATATATTACAACAACAATATACTACATGGAGAAATCAAAACCTATTAATTTTTTTCAAAAGTAACTGCATTTTCAATAAAAATAGGTGGAAAGTTAAGAGAATTTTCAAATCTCAAATTCTCTTAATTTTTTATCGATTTCTTAATGCTTTTCTAGAGGGGCGTTTCATCCTTCACGTTCATGTTTCTGTCACCATTCAATATTTTTTTGAATTTAAAGTTTTCCTGTTAGTAGTACGTGTCATTATCTTTTAGGAGGAATCTACTTCATTAGCCAATGGAAGACTATTTCGTGCAGACGAAGGAAGAGACAGTCCCGATGAGAATATCGACCCTGAGGAGAGCTTCAAAAGACTAGAAGAGGAATTCGGAGCAAATTCTATTTATAACAAAGACTTACCTACTATTAAGTTATTGGAGAAGGCCCAGGAGTTACTTAAGTCTGTAGACGCCACTATCAAGAAGAGTAATTCGATAGCTGAGAGGTTGAATTCAAGACATCTCACGAATCTATCGTCAGATCGATCAGGGGGTGATAGTCCTAGAGATAAAAGCATCATCTTGGGGAAATTGAAAAATGATAATGGATCTGAATCTGAGTTATCTAGCACTGATAGCTCATCCGGAAGCTTCGAGAAGATCGATATATCTGAGGTTTCGAATGATCGTGACTATGACGACTGTGTAAGGACGAGGATTTACTCAAGAGGACCTGAGGCGAGTGAGGACAGTGGAGTGGAGATGGAGCAGGAGCTGTGGAAAATTCCTGAGAACATCGTGAGACTCTGGACTGCCCAGATAATGGTCGCTCTGGAGTTTTTTCATAGGCAGAATGTCATTGTCAAGGGGCTGATGCCACAGAATCTACTTATTGATGATGATGATAATGTCGTTCTTTGCTATGTAGTGCCGGTAAAGACTGAACGGTTCTCGGTGCAGTTTGAAATACCGTATACAGCCCCAGAGTTGTGCAGCTATCTGCCGGATGCTGGGGCCAGTGGCGCTGCTGATGTCTGGAGCTTTGGGGTAATTCTTTATGAATTGTTGACTGGACTGGTGAGTTTAATTCATTTCCAGAATTCATTCAACCGTCTCGATTAAATATTTTTGATCAACTATTTACAGCCACTAGATTAGCTCGCGCGCGTATTCTCTACATTACGTGCCTGAGGAATTGATAGGACTGATTAGATTTTGATTCGAAGTATAATGATTCGTTCCGTGATAATGAAGTATAATGATGTTCCGTTCCGTTTTTTTTTTCAACGTTTTTTGGACTGTACAATCATAATTTTTAAGGACTCCAGGGCTATGTAAAACAAAATGGCAATTGGACATGTTAGATTTTCAAAATCAAAAAACATTGATAGGCAATAAGTCTCTTGTATTAATTTTTAGTGTTAATTAGAAGTTTTTAGTTCACAACGTGGGGTTCTTGAGAGCTGTCTCTAAATTTCTCGTGGTAATTTTTCATTTTTTTTGCAGGAGTTTCAGACGAGACATCCAGGACCATATTATTCACATTCCATTCTTAGTATTCCTAGTGATTTGTCTGATAATGCAAAATCATTGTTGAAAAGTGTAAGTATTTGAAATGTTATTAGAGAAAATATTCTAGTAAAATATCAAAACTAAAGTAGAAAGAATATGGATGAAGTTACGCCCCAAAAAAATTATATAAAAAAACCTTCTGAATTCCCTAGAAAATTCTACTGGATTCCTATTGTAGTTTTATAAGTTTTTAACCAATTTTATTAAAGAATTCCACTGCTTTACTATGTTTTTTACCAGAAAATGTCTAATAGAAACTATTTTATAGAAAACATGAGTAGAATTTCATCGTTTTATACATGGTTTTCTTTTCACACATTTTCTATAGAAATTCCTCGACATAAATATTCTATGTTTTTTCCATTCTATTTTTATTCTCTTTTCACTAACAAAAACAAGCAAAAAAACTCGAGCCAAGGACTTTCTGTAGTAAATATCTCAATAGAATAATTTATAGAGAAAAATCGAATTCTACTGATTCTTTATAAAAGATTTTTGATTGAACCACGCAGATGAACAGCGGAATTTGTCAATAGAATCAGTCAAAAGTTAATAGAAAGTTCAATAGAAATTCCATAGAATATTCTAGCGAATTCGTTAGTTTTTCTATGAAAAGTTTTCTTGTAAAGATTCTTTAAAATCTTTCAGGGAGTCTTGAGGAATTTTATATATGTGGTACGCTGTAATTTTTCCTGGTGCTATGAGTACTGTGTTTGCAAATTTTAAATGTTTGAAAAATTATAAGATATAACTTACTAATGCATACCGAAAATTAAAAGCTTGATTCTAATGAAGAAGAGAAGCAGAATATTTAAAAACAATAGTATTTAATAAAGCTAAAATGAAGGAAAACAAAATAAAATACCCAAATTGGACAAATAAAATTAATTCGAATTTATTTTTTCCAGATTTTAATTTTCGAACCATCAGAACGTCTCACCATCAAAGAAATGAAGCACCATCCATTTTACAGTAAAATCGAATGGGATGCCATAGGACGTTCCAATATGAGATCAATAATTACAAAAACGGAAGTATGAAAATGAACAGTCGTCATGACAATATTCTAGACAGTAAGGAAAAGCACGTCAACGCAGTTCAATCTTCTTTATCTTACATTTCCACTAGTCTAAAATGCTTTATTTGTGAAAAAAAATTGAACAATATTGTTTTTCGTTACGAGCTATTCTTGTTGTTACTGATTTTATGTTTTGTTTTTTTATTTTTAAGATTGATTATAAGTATTGTATCAAAAATGTTGTTTGTTCAGTTATAATTACATCATGGAAAACGTTTGGAGGAATAAAATAGATTGATAACAGAAATTGATTCTTGACTGACAATTATTATGAAATAATGGAAACATAACAGAACTCGTTTTTTCACATCTTATTAAACGTCGAACTATTTGAATCACGACCAATTTTATCGAAAAATGTAGACAAAAATTTTCTCTCCACCTTGCGCAAACTATTCAATCATCTTCGACACAGTCACTTTTAAAACAAATGCAAAGCCCTCATTAATCCTCCCCTAATGTCAGCCCTGCTGTCTCTTCTTTTCCCCCTGGTAATTGTCGACATTCCATCCACGAACCTCATAGTAAAAAACATATTAGCATTATTAAACATCCCATTCTTCAACGACACACAAACTGCAAAATCTTGAAACGCTTCTTCAACATGGTTCAAATGGTCTGGGTATGCGACAAATTCAACGCAATATCAACCTTATCGAAAATATAAAAGTGCCAGAAACTTCTGCCCCAAAGCAGAAAAGCTTGTTTTATCCCATGTGATTAAACATCAAACTATTTGAATAAAAAGCAATCTTCTTAGAGAAAAATGCAGACGAGATCAGAGAAGCTTTCCTGACATTTTTCACTCCACCTTAAACAGACTATTCGATCATCTTTGAAACAATCACTTCTAAAACAAGTGCAGAACCCTCATTAATCCCCCTAATGTCCTCCACCCTGCTGTCTCTTCTTTTCCCCCCTCGTAATTGTCGACATTCCATCCACGAACCTCGTGGTAAAAAGCACATTAGCATTGTTAAACATCCCATCCTTCAATGACACAATAATAAACTGCGAAGTCTTGAAATGCCTCTTCAACATGGTTCCAATATTCTGAGTATGTGACAAATCCAAGGCAGCATCGACTTCATCAAGAATATAAAGAGGTGCAGGCTTGAATAGAAGCATCGCCAAGATGAGGGAGAGTGCCACAAGTGACCTCTGTCCCCCGGAGAGTTCCCCCAACGACTCTTTCCAGACATTGGTGAACCCTACCTTAACCTCGAGTCCATCCAGCACATTTTCGCTCTCCAATTTCTGAAGCTTAGCCATAGCTCCAGGCAACAAACTACTGAAGATCGATCCAAAGTCCTTGTTGACCTGCTCCCAAGCCTTCTCCAAAGTCTCCTTCTTCTTATCCTCCAGATGCTTTACTGTCTCCAAGATCTTTTTCTTGTCAGCCTCCACAATCTTCTTCCTTTTCGTTGTCTCATCGTACCTCTCTTCTTCCTTACTCAGGAGGCTCATTGCTCTGCTGTTGACATTTCTGCTCAAGTCAGTCCTCCTTCTCTCCAACTGTGACATCTTCTGGGCCATCGAATTCGGTTCATTCACATTGAAATCGTAGACAGTCCCCTCCTGGCCAAAATACTGTTTCTCATTCGCAATCCAGGCATATTCTTTCAGAAGATCATTGACTTTACTCTTGCACTGGGCAGCATTCGTCTTTATCGCATTGATCTCATGGTCAAGCTTCTTAATCTCCAGCTCCAGATCACTGTTTCTCTTCAAAATGTCTTCCTTCTTGGAGTGAAGTTTCTGGATCTCCTTGTTCTGTTGATTTATTATGGTCTTCTGAGTCTTTATCTGATCCTGAAGCTGAGAGACAACACCTTCGGACTCTTTCAATCTCTCCGAATACTCCAAGGATTTTTCTTCAAGTGCAGCGAGCTTCTGGTCAGCCTTCGCCAGCTGCTCCCGTCCATTCTCAATAGTCTTCTCCAGCTCCTTAATCTCCAGATTTAAAGTCTCTGAAGCTTGCTCATGCTTTTCCCACTCTTTTCTCGAACTATCTGCCTTCTTCTGGAGGACCTTCAGCTGGTTCTCAGCGTCCTTATGCTGCTTCTCACGAATTTTCGCTGAATCCTTCAGCTGTCCCTCCAAATCATTTGCCCTCTTGGAGTTCTCCTTCTCGACTTTTTTAGCAGTTTCCATCTTGTCGTTAAACTCATGGATTTTCTGACGAAGAGTATTGATCTCTTCCTGCACCTGGTGATGAGACGTCTGCTGCAACCGTTGTCTTATCATGTTGACCTCATGCGTTTTGATATCAAACTGTTGCTTAACATTCCTGTATTTCTCCTCGAGCTGTGATAATTTATTCAGCTGTTGTTTAATGCCTTCGTACTCTGCCTGCTTCTGAGACAACTGCTGCTGATATGATTTTAACTTATCAATCTGTTCTAGGACAGATCCTCCCCTAGCCTGAGCTCCTCCACTCAGCGTTCCAGCAGGATCCACAACATCTCCCTCCAGAGTCACACACTTCCTGTTGATTTTGCTGTTGAAGGCGACTGTCCTAGCGACCTGCATGTCCTTGCAGATTAGGGTCTGCCCATAAATCCAGGTCATAGCAGGTCTAGCCATCTCAGGAAAATCAATCAGGGATAAAGCTGGCCTGACGTTCTCATTCCCCACTAGCCTCTCAGCATAGTTAATAGTCTTATCATCCATCGCTCTTCCTGTAATTTTATTCAAGGGGATGATCGTCGCCCTCTGCTTCAGCTGTCCATGCTGCAGAAGAGCCTTCGACGTCTTTTCGTTATCAACAACAATGTTATAGAGACGGCCACCAGCAGCTACGTCCAGAGCATAAGCTGCATTCTTCTCCTTCAGACTCATCAGCGTGCAGACAGGACCTTTTACCGAGTTCTTGTCGAAGTTCTGGCTCGGTGGGGTGTACTGGAATGTCAAATTGGGGTATCTACTCTCGATCTCGTCGATCTTCCCCTGGAGCTGTGCTATCTCCCCCTCGAGGGTTCGTTTCTGCTCCTTCAGGACTTGAGAAGCTTGTTCGTCGTAGTCGATCCTCGACAGTCCCTTCTCAAGACTCTTCAATTGCTGTTCTTTGTTCGCCAGATCTTTGCTATCCCTCTGATAATCAACATCATTGTTTTTGATTTCCTTCTCCTTTTTACTCAGTTGTTCTTTAGAATGGGCTAAGCCCATCTGACACTGCGTGATCTCCGTCTGGGCTGCAATGGCATTCTTCTTCGCGTTGATCAACTGCTGCTCCAGGGTGGCATTCTCCCCGTCCGCGCTCTCAAGAAGTCCAGCTGAAATCTTTTGGAGCCTCTGTTGAGCAGCTGTCACAGCTGCGTTATCCCTCTCGTCCTGTTCTCGAAGCTGTTGGAACAATCCTCCGACTTGCTGAAGCTCTTGGTTTTTCTGCTCCAAGGCTTTGTTGTCCTCATTCAAGTTCTTCTTGAGCTGCTCGATTATCTTCTTCTCCGCTTTTATGCTTTCCTTGTTGCTGTTGGCTTCGGCTGTTAATTTACTTTCTTTCGTCTCGAGTTCCTTCAGCTCTTGCTCCAGGGCCTCAAGACGTTCTCCTTTCTCTGCTTGGTTCTTGGCTGTCATCTCTTCGATTTTTGTTTCAATATCTGCGACTTCTGCTTCTCCATCTTTAATCGTCGTTTTTATCGTTTGGACTTTGGCCTGGGCTTCTGAGACACTCGTCTCGGCTTCCTGGGAGCTCTTCAAGGCGGAGACGTACTTCCAGGCGAGGACGATCTTGCGACAGTGTTCGAGCTCTCTCTCGACTCTCTGATACTCTGCGAATTGCTCGCGTTCTGCTTTGAGTTTTCGAAGCTTGGGACCGATCTCCTCTTGGAGGATGTCGTTGATCTGCTTGAGTTTCTCGTTCTTCTTGTCGATGGTCTTCATAGCGGCTTCTTTCTTCTCTTCGTACATTCGGGTGCCAGCAGCCTCCTCGATCATGGACAGGATCTCGAGGGGCTTCATGTTGAGGACTTTGGTGATACGCCCCTGCATGATGAGGAAGTGGGGATTGTTGACATTCAGTTGGACCGAGCAGAACAGGTCGTGGACGCGCTTGTTGGGGACTAGTGTGCCGTTTATCAGGTACTTGTTCTTACCGTCAATCACCACCTGGCGGGTGACAGCGATCTCCTCGTAGTGCTCGTAACCCAGAGGGGACGCACCGCGGTCGCGGTTGTCGAAGGTCACAGTTACTGTCGCCTTTTTCACCCCGGCCTGGCCGGATTTGTAGACGAGCTCTTGGAGGGAGGTAGCACGCACCTATGGAGACCAAGAGGATGCACTGAGAGAAATATGGATATAATATCACAAAACTAATTCTTGCGTCAAATATCTCATTTCTCAAGGAAAAAAGCTTAAGGGGAGACTATTATGAGTTTTAAGGTCTCACCATACACCTAAAGGGCACCGACACATCGATTTTCAAAATTAAAAAAAATACATATAGACTTATCAAGAAAAAATTGAATTTACTTCGAAGATCACATATCCAAGAATATTTACAAAATATAGACTTATCAAGAAAAATTTTAATTTACTTCAAAGATCACATATTCAAGAATATTTACAAAACAAGCAGGAGACAGCGAGCATATGACAGCGCGCCATGTGACAGTGAGCATGTCACTGAATTTTTATTTTTTTTTCGCCATCAATACTGTCGGACTGATGAGTCCGTTCTCTTCGTTTTCAGAGGTGGGAGATATGGATGTGCGTGGGGATTAGCTAAAGTGGGGGTAGCTACAAAGGGAACGGATTGGTTACTTCGCCTATACATTGATGGCGGGCTTCCGAATGGTCTGAAATATTACAAAAATTTATAGCTTTGCAACACTAACTAGCAGCAAAAATTTCAGATGTTTACTGCCACCTTCATCGGTGCTATCAAAATTTCAATGTTTCGAATACTTCGCATGAGCGGGTATATATATTTTCTATCTAAATTTTGTTGATCAAGTTGATATCTTCATGCACAAGCTAGAGTGTGTATAAAGTTTTTCTATGAAAAAACGGAAAAACGGGAATATCTCGAAAACTTTGTGTGAACTAGCGTATATGTTTTGATCGATTTAGAAAAGAAAAAGTGAAATCGGTTGCGTAGTTTTGAAAATATTACGTATAAAAGATTTTTAAAACAAGTCGAATATCTCCGACACTACTGATGCGATTGAACCCTTTTTCAATACGACACATTGCCACCATGACAGGAAGATCCTGTCCAAATTTCAAATTGATATCTCGATTTTTGCACAAGCTAGAGTGATTACAAAGTCTTTTATGAATAAAAAACGGAAAATCACGAATATCTCGAAAACTTTGTACGAACGGGTATATATGTTTTGATTGATTTAGATAGAAGGCATCGAAACGAATATTTTGAAAACAAAAAATCGAAATCGGTTCACTAGTTTTGAAGATATTTACGGAAAACGATTTAAAAACGGATCGTTTTTTCTCCAAAACTATTAGTTTGAACGAGCGGAAATTTTGCACATTTTTTTGCAGATTTTTTGGAATTACTTTAGCTACTTATTTACTCAATTTTCTAAAAATTGACCACCGGGAAAGGGGCCATGGACGTGGTCACATACAAACATGGTCGCCAAACTTGGTATTCTTACATTTCAGACTATTCTACATCATTTCCAATCGAAATTAGAGAATGGGAAAATCGAAGAATTGCAATGCTTCCATTCAGAAGCAAAACTATTAGATGTTTCATCAATATTCCCATTTTCCAAGCTACCAAAGAAGACCCACTGCAAGCGTTGTGCCATCAACAAAAAAAGTTTTTTCACTTGAAATAAAAAATTGAGACAATTAGTAAATAATATAAATTGATGTTGCCGATGACGACCCAATAAATTTTTTAAATTATTTTGTTGCGAATAGAACGCGCTTGTAAAGTTTCTGGCGAGATTCCGGTTCAAAATAACACCAGTTTTCTTACGATAAAAACAGTATTTTTGGAAAAAAATAAGAAAAAATAGTCGCTATTGGTAAAGAAATACTCTAACGAATTCATTATGATGAATTTCATGAGGACAGTTCCACTGGTATTGCAAATTTTCATGGCACCGTCGGGAAAAATCTAATTCAGAGAAAGCGGCGGTTAAAGTTTCCGTACTCAGGAATGCTTATTTCATTTACCGATTGAAGTAAATAAATTGCTTTGTTTCATCAAGTGTTTACAACATTAAACGGGTTAATGAAATGACAAAAATATGAGGTGAACAACTCAGGCCCATTTTGTTCTACGCAACGGGGTACTTGCCGTTCAGGTCAAATCGACCGGGTTAGTTATTAATGCCTATATCTTTGTCAATTTTCAAGATTTTCAAGCGAGGTTTTCGCAGGATATTTTGAAAAGATTGTACAATCAAATAAACGTATTTTTGAAAAATCGATTTTCTACATCCATCTAGCTGTATGTGGGGCTTTAAAAGTAGCAGGCTATTGGAGTGAGATTTCTCCTGCATTAAAGATCGATTATATCTGTCTAAAAACGAATAATTAGTGCAAAAAATTAATTGTTTATTGTTCGCTTGCCCCGCAGACGCATCAAATGTTAAAAATAATCCAGGGCCTCCAATTTTTGAGCACCAGAGGTTTTTTTTTTCAAAATTTGTGAAAAATGTCTACAACAGCAATTACAAAATTTTTTTTTTAATTCGACTCCTACGCAGCCAATTTTGTTTTGTTTAATGTAAAAATTTGCGTCATTCATGTAGTCGGCTGAAAAATTATCCTTAAAATATTTAAAATATATTCTTGATTCTTTCAGAAACATTTTTTGGGCTCTCTTCCATGAATGATGCAATTTTTTATTTGAAAAATTGCAAAATTAGCTGTGTAGGAGTTGAATTTCCAGAAACTAATTCGTAATAGTTATTGCACATATTTTTTCAAAAATATTGAAAAAAACCTCTCTAGCTCAAAAATTGGAGGCGCTGGATCATTTTCAACATTTTAAGCGTCTACGGAGCAGACGAACAATAAACAATTAATTTTTTTGCGCTAATTATTCTTTTTTAGACATATATAATCGATCTTCAATACATGAGAAATCTCACTCCAATATCCCACACCCTTTAAAACTCATAGTAGTCTCCCCTTAAACTGAACGATTTACATAATCAAATACTCGCTGAATTATGGTCGAAACAATACAGTGTCCATTTTAACAGACTTTCAAATACATGGCGGTTGGGTATTAAAATAGGCGGGCAAATCATCACAACAAAATCTAAAAGTAAGGTTATGTACCACCATCGTCCCAACAATGTTTTCTCTTTCTCATCCCAATAGGAAAGATTCTCATTAGGACGTTATTATTATAAAGAAGTTTCTTACCGATCCAAGAGCCGTGATTCCCAAAACAAAACATATTGCATCAAGAATATTAGACTTTCCACTGCCGTTCAGTCCGGTAATAGCGTTGAACTCCTTGTCGAAACCATTCACTTCAATTCTCTTTCCATATGACTTGAAACCGTCCAGTACTATCGATTTGATGTACATGGTGGCTTATTCACTTAATACTAGTTAACTTTATCTATTTCATTTGATTTTGCAGTGTTTTTATTCGTGAAAAAAGCAAAAAGGCAGCCTTTCACTCGCTCACGACGCAGCAGTGCTTCAAAGACGTTGAGAAAATTCAAAAGAACGACCAATCACAGACGAGACAGTTTAGTACCTCCAGTTATCACCAGGGGTTAGGGGGCGGGGCCAGGGCAGAATAATAACAAGTGGAAAAAATATTGAAACGTCAAAAATGGTTTTCCGAGATTGAAATCGGAATGATAACAAATAGTTGAAGCGAGGGTATAAAATATTTACGGAAAATATTCGTGTGAAAAATCCTAGAGTGTCAAGAATTGGAGATATTCAATTGTGTAATGAAAAAACTGTTGGGTTACGAGGTGAAGTCACTTCGGGAGGTTAATTTGTCAACTCAATGTTCATCAAGCATTTGTGGTGAATAAATTCAGGCATTTTTGTTATAAAATGGATAAATTGACAGTGATATCGGGAACATTGTTTTTCGCTGCTGATGTGTTTGCTGTCGCCAGTTTGTCGATGCCCGATTGGATAATTACGGATGTTGGTGGTGAGTCAATGGATAACAGTGAAAAACAATTTTCCATTATTATTATTATTATTATTATTATTATTATTATTGCTGCGGATTATCCAATAATTGGATGCGGATTGGAGAATGATGAAAAATTTTTAATTGAGATGGTTCACATGTCAATTTTGAGATCTCGTCATACGACAAAAAACAGTCTTGTGACTGTCATGTGACGCATACATTTTCTAACTACAAATGATGGTCACATGTAATTTGTATAAGCGAATTGTTGTCAAACATCTATACTCCATAATAATAATCTGATAAAATTTTGCATCGCCGATTTGAATTCTTTGTGAATGAATTTTGAATTTTTTACGTATTCTATGAAAATCGGAGGATAGGAATTGAATTTATGGGTATTCGTTCATTATTCGCAAAAAAATATCAATTTAAAAATTTTTCCTACACATTGAAAAATTAAAAATTCTCTTTTCGTGTTGATCTCGTTTCTCTTCCTCCTTTCTCTTTCTTCCATCAGAATTAGATATTAAAAAGAAAATCCATTGGTTTTTCTGCATCATTATTAAAAAACAAACGTTTTGAAAGTTTCAAGGTTGAGAAATCGATTTTTAAAAATTATTTCTGATTCTCCTTCCCAAGATTTTCCGTATTTCCTGTTTCTGTCAACGGAATATGATCACAGAAATTAAAAATGTTAATCTCCCTTCATTTTTTAAGAAGAAAAAAATAATTTGAAAAATTTTGAAAAAACAAAATAGATTTTTTCATTTTATTGATACTGATTGATGATGATCGATCTCTCTTTGCAATTTCCTTCTTCGGTTCCATCGAAATCAGATCAAAGGGATGTAAAATATACATATTCGTTCACGTTCTCAGATCATTGCTACTAATTAATTTAAAGAAAAAGAACGAAATGAAAAATTTAAGGTATGATTATGAAAAATTGTTTGTCGATCTATATTCTCACGTGATTTATGGGGAATTTCTCTTCATTCAATGTTGTAACTTGTAAATTAAGACGTACTTATACCTGGCAGGAAAAAATGGTACTAGGAGAAATGTTCCCCGGAAAATCGTACCCCAGGAAATTTGTTCCCCGGAAAAATGTTCCTCATTTCTTTTTTTTTCTGTCTCAATCCTTGTGAAATTCCTCTTTTTTTCCTGCCTCAATCCTCGTTTTGTTTACATGCTTATTCCTCTGAATGGCCAGTGTTTACTTCTTGATTCAACCGGTATGTAATATTTCGGTATTATTGTGATTTGGGTTTGAGAGGGGGAGGGGGGCTCATTGAGAGATGTTATCATCGTATATTGAGTAACGTGTTCATCAGGCTTACAGTTGTCATTGTGGTATCGCTATTCGTAGCGACTTGTTGTTGCATATAATCAATTAAAATGGTGGATATTGTTGCTTATTTGCTGCTCGGCTCTGCATTTATGCTGCTGTCCATGGCATCTTATAAATTTCGTCGCAGTAATTCTGGAAGGCAAATGTTGGTAACTGAGAGTGGTTTGGCAAATAAGCAACAATATCCACCATTTTAATTGATTGTATGCAACAACAAGTCTCTACGAATAACGATACCACACTGACAACTGTAAGCCTGATGAACACGTTACTCGATATACGATAATAACATCTCCCAATGAGCCCCCCTCCCCCTCTCAAATCCAAATCACAATAATACCGAATAATCACAATAATTACATACCGGTTAAATCAAGAAGTAAATACTGGCCATTCTAAGAATGCAAACAAAACAAGGATTGAGGCAGGAAAAAAAGAGGAACTTTTCAAGGTTTGAGACAGAAAAAAAAAGAAATGGGGAACATTTTTCTGGGGAACAAATTTCCTGGAGTACGATTTTCCGGGTACAATTTTCCGGGGAACAAGTATCCGGTAACCGGAAAAAATAACGGAATCAAATTTTGACTATTGGGTAATTTAAAGCTCATTTAAAGCTAATAAAAGCCATTGTGAAAAAATTTCCTGCTAATTGCATTTTTGGAAAATATGCGTTGGTACTAACTTTTCATTTGCAAATGACGCTGAAACTAGCGGGAGATGTGGTGGGGGACTGTACGGCCCCCACTACCGCCACTCACTGTACGTTCCCATCTCGTTAAATTACAAAAATTAATACAAACCAAAGCCATGAAAAATTAAAAATATTGTCTATTTGTACCTGAGGAATAGGGGATGACTAAAGGGGCGGGAGGGGGAGGGGGGGGAGATATATCGGTGCACTCAGTAGGGGATTTTTAATTGATTTTTACAAATCCATGAGGCTGAAGCTGGCGGGAGCAGTTCAGCGGGAGATGGGTATAGTTTGTGAGGCGGACTGTACGCCCCCCACCGTAGCCGCTCGCTCAACGCTACATCGGTAGCCACGAGTTTAAACCTCCTCCCAGACAAATTAAATGATAAAAAACAATCGAACAATTTTTTTTTTGTTATTATTATTTCTTAATGTATGACGCGGGTGGGGAATGATTTCTCGAGGAGGAATTTCATTATATTTTTTTTATTTTTATTAAGTTTTTACGCGGTCAATAGGGGTGCAATAAACGCATTCACCAATCGATGTCATTTTATTTTTAATGTGTCCCTAAAGGGTTAGGGGACCCTGTCCAACAAAAATTATCGCGGTGCACCTATTAGGGTATTTTTAATTAATTTTTTAAGATTCATTTCTCCCAACTTCCGGTGAACAAAATGGTGATGCACGGACACGCATGCACCAACCAACCCCATTCCATTTGGAATATGTAGCTAGGGGGTTGGGAGACTCTCCCCAACAAAAATTATCGCGGTGCGCTAATTAGGGGATTTTTAATTAATTTTTAAAGATTCATTTTGTGTAACTTCCGGTGAATGCGGTGGGGGTGCACGGACACGCATGCACCAACCGACTTCATTCCGCTTGGAATATGTTACTGAGGGGTTGGGGGACCCTCCCTAACAAAAATTGTGACGGTGCGCCAATTAGGGGATTTTTAATAAATTTTTCAAGATCCATTTGGTGTAACTTCCGGTGAATGCGGTGGGGGTGCACGGACACGCATGCATCAACCGACTCCATTCTACTTGGAATATATGCCTAGGGGGTTGGGGGACCCTCTCCAATATAAATTGTGACGGTGCACTAATTAGGATATTTTTAATCAATTTTTTAAGATTCATTTCTCCCAACTTCCGGTGAACAAAATGGTGGTGCACGGACACGCATGCATCAACCGACTCCATTCTACTTGGAATATATGCCTAGGGGGTTGGGGGACCCTCTCCAATATAAATTGTGACGGTGCACTAATTAGGATATTTTTAATCAATTTTTTAAGATTCATTTCTCCCAACTTCCGGTGAACAAAATGGTGGTGCACGGACACGCATGCATCAACCGACTCCATTCTACTTGGAATATATGCCTAGGGGGTTGGGGGACCCTCTCCAATATAAATTGTGACGGTGCACTAATTAGGATATTTTTAATCAATTTTTTAAGATTCATTTCTCCCAACTTCCGGTGAACAAAATGGTGGTGCACGGACACGCATGCACCAACCAACTCCATTCCGCATGAAATATGTTACTGAGGCGTTGGGGGAGCCTCTCCAATAAAAATTGTGACGGTTCACTAATTAGGGTATTTTTAATTAATTTTTTAAGATTCATTTCTCCCAACTTCCGGTGAACAAAATGGTGGTGCACGGACACGCATGCACCAACCAACTCGATTCCGCTTGGAATATGTTACTGAGGGATTGGGGGACCCTCTCCAACAAAAATTGTGACGGTGCACTAATTAGGGTATTTTTAATTAATTTTTTAAGATTCATTTCTCCCAACTTCCGGTGAACAAAATGGTGATGCACGGACACGCATGCACCAACCAACCCCATTCCATTTGGAATATGTAGCTAGGGGGTTGGGGGACCCTCCCCAACAAAAATTATCGCGGTGCGCTAATTAGGGGATTTTTAATTAATTTTTTAAGATTCATTTTGTGTAACTTCCGGTGAATGCGGTGGGGGTGCACGGACACGCATGCATCAACCGACTCCATTCCACTTGGAATATGTGTCTAGGGGGTTGGGGGACCCTCTCCAATAAAAATTGTGAGGGTGCACTAATTAGGATATTTTTAATGAATTTTTTAAGATTCATTTCTCCCAACTTCCGGTGAACAAAATGGTGGTGCACGGACACGCATGCACCAACCGACTCCATTCCGCTTGGAATATGTTACTGAGGGGTTGGGGGATCCTCTCCAACAAAAATTGTGACGGTGCACTAATTAGGGTATTTTTAATTAATTTTTTAAGATTCATTTCTCCCAACTTCCGGTGAACAAAATGGTGGTGCACGGACACGCATGCACCAACCGACTCCATTCCGCTTGGAATATGTTACTGAGGGGTTGGGGGATCCTCTCTAACAAAAATTGTGACGGTGCACCAATTAGGGGATTTTTAATAAATTTTTCAAGATTCATTTTGTGTAACTTCCGGTGAATGCGGTAGGGGTGCACGGACACGCATGCACCAACCGACTTCATTTCGCTTGGAATATATTACTGAG